AAGACAGCACCAGCGGCAAAACTGTTGTCATGGCAACAGCACTAAGGGTGTCATTTTCTTCCTTCAATACTGCTTCAATATTTCCAGAGATATCGTTTATTCGGTATTTTCCACTTTTTAGTTGCAAACAAATATGATGTCATAACTGATCTAACTTGCATAATAGAAAAATGTCAATCTCTCTAAAATGAAAAAAAGATATTTCAAAAAGAAAAATGCCATTCTTCTGTATTTTGAAAGGCCTTTCAAATAAGCAGAAATCATTTTTCATGTCATATACGCTTTAAATATGGAACTGTAAAATGGGTTAGAACATAAATTCTGATAAATCTGCCCTTCATCAACAGAGACTAGTGAACACTATGCTGATCATTTCATCTCAGGAACTGTTGGGCAAGGTAATTTTTTATTCTAACTGCTAGTTCTCCTTAAATTGTTTTAATTTATGTTACTGGTAGTGATAAAAATGAAGTGAAAAATCTGCACATCAGGCCACACAAAATACAACACTCTCCAATTAAATCTCTATCCAGTGGATAGCTTAGCATATTCAAGTCATTTGTATAGGGCTGGTGCTTAGGTAATTTTTTTTCTATTAAAAAGGCATGATCTATTGAGCTTTCTAAAAGATGGATGCAAGGGCTGCCCCCTATGCAATTCTTCTGTTTTTTTTGATCCGCAAAATGCTTGTTAATTGTTAATTAGTTCATGTACATTAGGCGTTCCCTATTAGTTGATGGTTCTCCTTCTCAGATATGTTAAACACATTCATAAAGTTGGTTGGTTGGTTCATCCATTCATTTGTTTGTTTGTTCGTTGTTCTTTCGTTCATTTGTTTGCTCGTTCATTTGTTTGTGTAGTCCCATATAAATTTTCATTAATACTTTTTCTAATTTTAGCAACAGTGGAACCATTTAAGAATAAGATAGTCGATCACACTTCAGCTGATCAAGGTAAGACCACATGTTACCCCTGGTCATTTCGTCAGGTTGATAACTTTGAAGAGTTTGCTGCTACCTGTTAATTTACCCTCCTGGGTAAATTTCAATTCTGTCAAAGAATTTGATGGAAGAGTATAAAATGTTCAAGGCGGGAACTATCTTTGTCCTTTTCTTCATAGAAGTGTTATCTCCAACACTGTTGCACCCCCCTGAACCTGTAGAGATGGGCATCACTGAACAGCAAGAGCTGGGATATATGCCGCTCAGAGATGATTTTGAAAAGGTGACCTCATGTTAGTTCATTATAAGATAGATAGGAAGCCATGCCTGCAATAAATTGTAGAGCTCAGTATTCATTTGGTAATAATTATAAGGACATTAACTTTATTTAATAATGGTGG